GGGGGGGGGGGGGGGGGGGGGGGGGGGGGGGGGGGGGGGGGGGGGGGGGAGTACTCATGTTTCGCATGCCTTGGCGGTTAGACCATTGACCATGCATCTTGGAGAGGGCGGACGGAGCCTTGCTTCCACAGGACCAACCACTTCGTTCCTTCCTACTCTGTCAATTGTGACTCAAAAAGGGCAGGCGGGGGGCGGGGGACAAGCAGCGAGAAGAGGGGCGCGGTTGACCCTCGGACGGCACCCAGGGTTCCTCCAACCTTCGGTCTCAGTGAAAATAGCTGACTTATTCCACTCACGGAGCCCCCACCCGCGACGATAGTCATTGTTGTTGCTGTTGTTTTCGCATCGAAAACGTTCGGGCCTCCGCTCATCACCTAATATCCGTATTGATCCAACTGACACAGACGCCTTCCACGGTCACGAGCCAACTACCTGAAGGAGGTGGGGTTGCAACGGTCCAACTGTCCGGCCAGGGGCACGAGAAACCCAAAGCAGTGGTAGGGTAGGTCTAGATCGCACTTGTCGAGATTCGAATGAATGTGTTCAATAGAGCTGAGCGGCAGGACAGTGCATTGTGGTCTCCAACATGGAAAGCGAGCTGCTCCTTGCTGTACCGTTCGCCATGGAGGAACACACTTGACTTTCTCACAGACCCACACAGCCCACACTGGTAAGGAAGGCACAAACGGGAAACATCAAATCCTGAGACAAACAACATGGCAAAATATTGCAAGTAAAAGCACGCACAACATTACCATTACCGGGCGGCGACGAAAGTGTAAGACGAGGTGACCCCCCTACCGTAGCAATCAGGTGGTGTAGGAACAGAATGAGGCAAACATTATATTCCGATCCGTTTAGGATTATTATTATTTTGTTTGCCCTCCGACAATTGCAGATAACTGCAGACATACATAAAAAGTCGTAAAGGCCGTCATGCCAAGCCAAATTAACTCGATGCCCAATAGCTAGGAATGTTTGCCTTTAAGTCAACAAAACTTTGGTTGAAACACTACAGCTGAACTCTAGGCACGAACCTTAGATGGAGAAAAACGAACAAAACCCCCACCTCATCCACCCGAAATCAAACAAAACTCGGCCCCGTCTTCCCTGGTACCCCTGACACCGTATCGAACAGAAATCCGCTTTCCACCGAAGTGGTTAGGTCAAAGCTGTCGCACGCATATTTCGGCGCGCAAAAGTCTGTGCGGCATTGCTGATCGATACTGCCACCGGTCACACCAAGAGAGAAACATCCGCCGTCTTGCTCTTTCTGAGGCACCCCCCACTCAAGCCCATGTTCCCCCAGACCCCCGACGCTGCCACCCCCTGTTCCTACTTCCTCGCCACCTGCAACCACAAGGTTAGGATTGGTTTCAGCTACGGAAAAAAAAAAAAAGGAATCTTGACCGGATATTTTTGAAATCACTAGTCTGCACATTCATGTGCATACGTGTACGTACATACATACATGTTCTACAGCAGTACGTACCTGAACATCTGCCAGCACCTACAGCAAGCAGTACATGCAACAGCTCCAACGCGGACATGCTGTTTGTTGTATTATGCATAGAAGAAGAAAGATTCATCCAGTGTAGTCTATGCATACTACTTGTGCTGCTGTAGACTGCCATTCCTACTACTACTGCTGCTGTGACTACACAGGATGCACGCCTTTGCACAGCACACACGTCTGTCCAACGAACATGTAACTCTTATGTTTGTTTGTTGATGTTTAGATCCATCCGCAGCCAGCCACATATGTGCTGTAGGTACGTATTCAACAAGTACCTTTATTGTCGAAGGAACTTATTATGCATCTCTCGCCAGCCTCCATAGGGAAAACGAGGCGATCACTTCTACAGCAGCAGCAGCAGTGTGCATAGTGTTGAAGTGTAGACTACATTATTAATTTTTGACGACTGCTACTACAGCAGAGAGAGCTGCACAGCGCATAGATAGGTAGGCGTGTGAAGAAGAAGCACAGAGCCGGTCATCGCTCGCTCCAAAACGCACCTTTTTGCAGGGCTGTCCTCGTTGTGAACGTTCTTCATGTCGGAATCATTTCCCGAAACCACGGTACAATACAGTAATTTATGGGCTCCTAAACCTCGCTCGAAGCGCAGATAGATCCGCAAATGATTTAAATCTCGCTCGAAGCGCAGATAGATCTGCAAATGATTTAAATCTCGCTCGAAGCGCAGATAGATCTGCAAATCATTTTCCCGTCCCCATCATGCTTTTTGTGCTCCGCGATGCAACAAAATTGGCTCAGAACTTAGAGTAATGCATCCCCCCCGAGGGGAACTACTATTAATAATTATATCGTACTACTACTGCTACTGTAGATGGGATTTTGTGTTGCTCTTACAGTAACATCCGCGGTAAGTCGAAAGCACGGTAAATCCGATTTTCCCGGGCTATCTTTTGTACGGCAATGGGGCACTTCAATTTGTTCGTGAACGGTTTGGGCGGTAACGGTGAAATCAATTCATCACGGAAACGATTTGGATGGGAACGAACGGTAATTATCATTTTTCACGGGATCACATGAAACGGTAATTACCATCATCATCGTGGTTGTACCGCGGAGAAATCAACGAAGGCAGCCCTGCCTTTTTGTCATGCACCACCACCAGACAGGCGCTAACCAGCGCACAACAAGAAGAAAGGCTAGCAGACTACTGACTGGCGTTGGCATACATCCTCCATCCGCTGAGTGACATGATGTACAGTATTATTATCAAAATAAATTGAACAAGAGAGAGAGGAATCCGCGACAGAGAAAGAGACACCCTCGGTCCCATTTTTCCCGATAGGATTTGTTTTTCGTCGTTTCGTCACGCCGTTACGCACGAAATCCAATCCGTTCAAAGGATCAAAGGAAAGCGGACCACGGATTGGAGGCAGCCCTGCAAAAGCAGGTCAATTTATAGGTTAAGACTACAATGTGTTACGCAACGCACTCACAGTCTCCGAAGTAGCCTTCGGGGCAATCCACCAAGAGAACCCTGCGGCCAAGGCCTCTCGCGGGGGCGATGGCCACCTCATGGTCCTCGTCCTCCCCACCAGCCTCCCTCGCCACCCCACTCCCGCCGCCTGCTGAAGCTGAGGGCGACGCCACGACGGTCACGCCCCCTCGCAGCCCCCTCCCCTTGCCGGCACTCCCGGTGGCCTTACTGTTCGAACCGAGCCGCAGCACGCCGAACAGCCGCTCTTGCAAGGCGAAGAAGCCCCGGGTACCGATAGGCCACCACCACCGCTGCTGCTGCTGCTGCTGCTGCTGCTGCTGCTGCTGCTGCTGCTGCAGCGCCTGGAGAAGATTACCATCACCCCCGGCGAAGTCTCCCACCTCTCGCAGAGCGTTGCCGTCGACGACGGCACCTGCGGTACCGCCGGCGGTCGAGTGCACCCAGAGCTGGGAGCCGTCGCCGGACACCCAGACGGAGCGGTGGCTTTCCACGCTCCCCGGCGGCGAACGCGACCGCATGGGGGGAGGTCCGTTCTGTGGCGGCGGCGGCGGCGGCGGCGGCAGCACAAGTCTGCCGTCAAAGACGCTCCAAGAAGTCGAGACGAGGACCGGCGCGTCAAGCTCTTTATCGCCCACTGCCGGGGTGGCGGGGGTGGTTGTGGTGCCACTCCAGTGCTGATATTCCGTGCTTGACGTCGGACCGACAGCGGCTACCGCTCCCTTGGCTTGATGCGCCTCGACCTGGCCGCCGCTTAGCAATGGCGCCGCTCCAGCCCACCTCAAGAGCAACATTCGGCTCTCTACCCACGCAGCGTCGAGGCCGCTCGCTCCTCCCGCGAAGCTTCCCTCGGAGAACTCGCAGTCGACCAGGGTAGCGGTACCGCCGTGCAGCCGCAAGAGCGTCAACGCTGCGCCGTAGTCACTGGTACCGCGCACATTGTGCGTTGCGGCATCCTCCTCGAAGGCCTTCGTTTCTGGAGGTCGGGTTGCTGTCGCTACGATGTGGCGAATCGCCGTCGACACCGCGAGAAACTCCCCGCCGCTCTCCACAACCAACGCCGCCGCCAGCCACCCACCGCCGTTCCGTGCTGGTTCTCCAGCTCCAGTGCTCGTGCTGCTGCTGTCCCGTAGCACGACCGAGCATCCGTCCGCTAGATGCAAGCGACTGCTTTTCGCGACGTGGGCAATAGCAGGTGAAGCGCTCCCGCCACCGCCGCCGGCGGCGGGACCGAAGTAGCACCCGCGGGCCTCTACGAGACTTCCAGGAAGAAGGTCAAACAGTAGCAGCGCACGCCCACCGCCGCTGCCGCTAAACACCGATAGGTTTTCCACCACCAAAGTGGCGTTCTTCTCGACCTGAAACAGAGCGCCCACATAATCTTTGTCATCGCTGGCTCCGGCGGCGTCTAGCCCTCGCCAATCGGCGTTGCCGGCAGCGGGGCGGAAATACGTAACCGTTGCACCCGGGCTGTCGCCCAAGATAGTAAGCCGGCTGGAGACACCGACCTGCCGAAAAAGGGTGTTCGATGGATGAGGCGGTGCTGCGGGGTACCCGAAGGGCGGAAGCCGCCAATCTTTGGTTTCATCATGGAGCAGCCTGCATGAATATTTCGGCGGGTCGGGAAAAGCTCTGCAGCGCTACAACAATAGCCGGCCTGCACAATAGAAGGTGCATTTGCTTTTGTATGATGGCACGAGAGGGCGAGGGATCGGAAACAATTTGAAGCCAACCATGGATTGATGCAAATCGGACACTTTCAGAATAAACAATCACCGGTGCACAACAATCGCGCATTTCCGTCAAAACGTTCTTTCGGTATTCAGAGGGAGCCCATATTCTGCGGACGTTTTACCGTCCCTCTCTGAAATCAGTGGCCTGTTCCTAGCTTTGCTTGTGTAAGGGGGGTGGGGAGTGGCCCACACCGCCGACAGCATCAACACAACAGACTGTATATTAGCTTACGATGGGCCCCCAAAAGGGAGACGGTAAACCTAAAATCAGCAATCAGTCATGTATCGATCCCTCAATATTGTTCCCCCCCTCCCAGATATGTGCCGTGCATGTTGTTGTTGATATTTCCACATAAACTACCGCTCCGAACTCTATCCAGCTCGTTAATCTTCTACCGTTGTTGTGGTCTAAACATCAAGCACATTTCCTAACAAATGGTCCGCAGAAAGGCATGTATTGCCGAAGCGGAAGGCAAAAAGGTTGTTATTGTTGTTGTCTTCACATTAAAAACCGTTCCGATCTCTCTCTACCCAGTACCTTCGTATGTCCGTACTGATACAACACTCGACGCGGTGGATTCCCGTGGTCGCAGGCTAACTTACCCTGAAAAGGTACACTCAATAAAATGGCCCCGAGGGGTCCGCAATTCAATAGAAATCAACGACAGATATTCTGGAGTCCTCCACTCCCTCTGCGCGCTATGCGAGGTATAACAACTGAGACTAGGGGTCACCATCACGGGCCGGAGAGAATGAGGTACACCCCCTTGGTTCAATCTTGGTACTTCACAACGCAAGCAGAGGCAAGACCATCTGGCACAGAAAAAGAGAGAAAAAGAAAAAAAGAGGAGAAGTGAAAAAGAGAAAAGAGAAAAAGAGAAGAAAATAAAAGGAAACAGAAAAGAAAGAGAAAATGAAATAATCTAAATAGAGCGAGGACAAAAAGGGACCAGGCCGAAAATAACAAGAAATAAGAGACAGAGAAAGGCACACGGTGGAGAGACCACTAACGTAGGTACGGTACGTCGGTCATTTCCCGGTCGGCAAATGAGATGCCAGGACGCTGTGTAATGTGGTTTCTGCGATGGGTAAGATCTCCGGAGAGCTGTTCAGTTGCATTTAAGTTGCCATCTACAATCTAAATCTCTCGTGATCATTTTTTTCACACCCAACTGCACCAGCAAGTCTTTCAAGGTTTCTTTTCAAGTGCCGCATGCTCGGCGTGTTTGGTCCCCAGGTGCCAAGACCAGAGCTGGAGCATGTCCCAAAGTCGACGAGACGTCGAAAAAAAAAGTAAATCACCACGGCGGAACTTTTTGTTCTTTGTACAACACCACAGCCGCATGACAGATAGCCGTTGGGTGTGTCTGGTCTGAAAATACTGCGGGTGGAAATCATGAGATCATGAGGGGGCCGGATATAGTCTATTGGTGGTACACATGGATGCAGGCATTTGTTTCCACCCCCCCTGCATCGGCGGGCCAGGGCGGATAAAGTCTATGGATGGTAGGTACACTTGGATGCAGGGATTTGTTTCCACCCCCCATGCCGGTCGGGCACAATCAAAATTTCGAGGTAACTACTTCACATCTACTTATAGGTGAACGCTGAACCGATCAAACACTCTTTTGGGCGAATTTTGTATTTCTCGTGAGAGAAGGTCCGCTGAGTGACCCCGGCTGATACATACGTCAGGACGTGAGATAGATACGCCAAAACGCCAGCGGCAATATAACAAATCTGGATGGGGCGAACACACACACGATGCTACAAGTATCATTAAAAGAAAGACACACACAGGCTGCCGACGGGAGAATATCGTATCTACAACATGCCTGCATATATGAACATATATATATGTATTCCAGATGCTCATCACAGCCAGCAGTGGTCGGGTCAACAACCAACGTTGACGGCTTGCCGCAAAAACGCGTGCCGCCCGGGGCTAGATAGCCAAGACGGCAACAAAGGGGCGCGCACAAAAAGGCGTGCACTATGGATGAATAGCTGCTTGTTGTATGTAGTAGACTACACACGTACACACGTGCTGCACACCACGGGTGCGGTGTTCGAGTAGCATCGAGCATGGAGCAGGATCGCCACAGAGTAGTTGTTTTTCCACAAACCAAGGGTCCTTTGGATCTTACTGATCTCCGCTACTGCTACTACTGCATGTAGACAAGTAGCTGAAGTATTTCAGTGGAACATTATGAACGGCACTACTGCTGTCCATTTTGCCCAATGCGGTAGCATTAACTCTGTGATACATGCAGCACGATTGGGACAAAAGTCTGGTTATGAAGATGCTTGAAAATCAAAGTTGCTGCTTCCGTGAATCAAATCCCTAGGGAGAGAAAATGCTCAAAAAAAGCGTAGCATTTGTCGAAAACAAACGAAGACAAACCACACAGCAGGCATCTAAGCAGGGCGCACGCCTTCCACTGGTCACACAGAACACCGGCACCGGGCACCTCACCTTGATGGGCTCATGCAGAGTCACCGACCCAAGCCAGGAAGCATGCACGACGGCGCCCTCTCTGGCGACAGCCGACGCGAGGAGCGCCGCGTCCGCTGCTGAAGCCACGACATGATGGAAGACTTGGGGAGCGCCGTAGGCTTCGGCGCGACACAAGAGGGTGGCAGCCAACAACGCCTTCGCCACCACCCAAACCATGCCGCGGGTACTCTTCCTTGCTGCTGTTGCTGCTGTTGTTGCTGCTGCTGCCGCCGCAAGCCGCGTGCACGAGCAACAGCAAAGGATTTCGAAGCAAACAATACCATGGTTTGATGTGGTGGGTGTCTGTTGTGGTACGAAAAACAGAAAAAAAGAGATGGATAGATGTCATTGTCGCCCAGCGATTTAGAGAGAGGGTGGGAGAAGGGCGTGAGGGGAGGTTAACACGGGTGGCTGGCCCACACGTCAAGGGGAGTGGGCATCGCATACACACTCCTGAGCGAGATAGGCCGACTGGTACAGCAAGAGAGCGAGAAAGACAGGAGACGCTTGACGGCAAATACCTGCAAATAGAGGAAGAGACAAATGAACGGGCAGACAAATCGGCCGTATCATCGTGTCTCACCACCAAAATGCACCTCTGCCCGTGCTGTATCGCCTTTGCCTCAGGACACACACCAGCTAGCCCAAACCATGCCCCGGGTGCCGCCGGTGGCAGTTCTCCTACTATTGCTGCCTCCTCGCTCCGGGTGGTATGAGTGAGAGATTAGTAGCAAGTGGCCGCAAGCGTGAGAGGGCTTGTGGTTGGTTGGTGGTTTGAGTTGTTTTCCGGAATATTTTCGTAGTTTTGGCTATTTATTTCCAAAATACAGTCCAAAAAAACTCTTTGACGATCTTGGTCCCGGAGTCGCTACGTAGTTGCCGGTCCACTCTGGCTAGCTGTCCATCACTCACGTGGATGAGCCTGCCGTGTGTTTGGCAGAAGGATGCGTGGAAGAATTCAAGGTTCTCAGATGCACGCTGATTATGACCTGCGCCGGTGGGCCCTCCTGTCCACTGGTGCCAGCGGTGAGATACGTGTCATCTCAGAGCAAGAAATCGCAAACATCATGCAACCTACGGATATGTTCCGTGTACTCTGATCATGGTTGAAGTCGTCACGCGAATGATTCCGGGATATTTTTGAAATACCCGTTGAGCTTTCCAATCGTCCCAGGATCTTTGGTCTGTTTTCCATATTTGTTTCCGGAACAGTTCCGGGATGACTCGGCATACGGTATCCACACCAGGATTGGCATACAAACATCCGCTGCTGACACCCGAGAGAGGAGGACACAAGGCAGCGACGTGTGTGCCGTAGTACATTGGGGTGACACCATCATGAGCTTGCTACAGGCCAAGGCTGCTGCAGTGCTAGTAGCGCTGGGATGCACCTCAACGTCGACTACCCCTACTGTATCTGGGTTTGGTGTGGTGATACCCGTTGTGTTGAACAAGAGGGCTGGAGCAACCAGTTTCCTGCCGCAGCAGCAGCAACAGCAGCTCCCTCTGCATGGGGCTTCGACCATCAGCAGTAGGTCTACCAGCCAACGTAAGGCACCGTTTACGATCATGGAAGCCTCTGGAGATGGAAACGGAGAGCCGAAGGCAAAACGAGAGGTGCGCGGTCGTTTTTTCGGACGTGGTCGAAACGAACAGAGCACACGCAGACACGGTTGATGACGAAGCACTCGAGGTCTCTCCCAGCACGTATGTAGTACAATCAGCGTGCATGTAGGGGAAGGTTCAGCGGCTGTGTGTGTGTGTGAATCTCTCGGAGCGAGTCGCTTCGTAGCACATGGTGTTCCTACTGGGCTACCTCTTGATATTGCTGATAAAGCGTCACCGCTTTGCACGCTCACAGAGCGTCACTGCGCAGGCACCGACGGCATATCTGTCTGCAAACAAACAGCAAATTGTTGTATCCTACACTTAGCACAGGCCGTGCTGAACGTGTGGTACTTACCGACATGAGGAGGGTGTGGCATAGGGTGGTGCTAAGCGTGAGTTACGTACCAACTACTGTAGGTTTATGTGGGTGCAGGCAAATAGACGCTAATTAGCACACGCACGCGCTGCAGGGTAATTCTTGTGTAGAGTAGTCTAGTACAGCAGTACGGCGTCAACTAGGAGAAGCTCCCCTGTACAAGTTATAACTGAGACATGCCATCTACAGCACTTGATGGAAAATGCAACAACACATGTTTTCCCAGCGTGCAGCCCAACAATTGACAATTTAGACGGAGTGCAAAGAGTTACGGTCCGAAATGCACGTCTTGATCGATCATTGATAAACAACGGCAGGGTTTCGTTGGACGCAGACTTGTGTGACCACGCGGAATAATTTCTGTTTTAATTCATTTTTATTAAGGAGAATAAATATAGTCTATATTCCAATATATTCCGCTGGATGGCCAAGAAACAAACTTCAATCCGATTTGAGATGTTGTAGCAGTGCTACACGTGGAAGTCCAAAATCTAAATTTTGGAACGCACGTGTTGAGTTAAACTACCCGCGAGGTGAACTTCTCTCTCTCATACACTCTCTATCTCTCTAAGATCGATGCATAAAAAATAGAACACGACCAGTCTACCTGTTCGAAATACAATCTTAATATTTCCTGCTCTGCTGATGGTGCCATTGGTGTACTGGCCTGTACCAGTCAGTATGCGTACAGTCGTACAGACAGCGCCATGCTTTCGTCAGTGGAAATATGTATGTTACATTTGTCTCACGATTGCATGCATACGTGCATTTGGTGTTTGGTTTGTGCAACCTTCATCCTCCCCCCGCCCTCTCTATAACTCCCTGCGGAGGCTCGAGAATGTGTGCGGTGCGCGTGTTCACTGTAACACCACAGGAGCAATTTCCGGGGATCAGGGGTCACTCACGGAACACTTTTGAGACATCTATGGTTAATAATTCGACGAAGCAAAAAGAACCTGACCCCTTGCAGAAGTACTGCTGTAGTACAGAGTAGTCAACATTACCTATACCTGTACTACAGTAGTACACGAAGCATTCCCTGCTGGTTTCCCCACTGATCAAATCAGGAGCTAGATACGTATAAGTTAGTTACAGATTTACTGGCCTTGTTGTACCTATACTGCATTGCATCGTAGCTTTCTGTTACACCGGAAGGAGGAGACTGCACATGCATCCATCCGAGGAGGCAATCATTGGCCTTTTGTCTATGCATACAGTCGACCCCGCCCTGAGGACGCACATGGTTTTTCCCGAACAAAAGCGTCCTTATAGCGGGGTTGCGTCCTCAAAACTCAGGGGACGATAGCTCACCATCCCCGGGGCCAATGGAGGCATGCTACAGTATACCTCACCGGTCGCCCCGGTGGTCTAGTTGGTATCCTCGAAACCTTCTAGAGGTCAGGTCAGGGGTTCGAATCCCGGCGGAAGCGAGCTTTCCTTGCAAAGTGAGTTTTTCTCGCGCTTCCGCTCCTGGTCTATTGGATAGCGCTAGTTGGTGTGTACACAGAGTGAAGAGAGTGCTGAACTCTTCTCGCGTTAAAAATCGAAGGCTAAGTACTGCAGGAGGANAACTCAGGGGACGATAGCTCACCATCCCCGGGGCCAATGGAGGCATGCTACAGTATACCTCACCGGTCGCCCCGGTGGTCTAGTTGGTATCCTCGAAACCTTCTAGAGGTCAGGTCAGGGGTTCGAATCCCGGCGGAAGCGAGCTTTCCTTGCAAAGTGAGTTTTTCTCGCGCTTCCGCTCCTGGTCTATTGGATAGCGCTAGTTGGTGTGTACACAGAGTGAAGAGAGTGCTGAACTCTTCTCGCGTTAAAAATCGAAGGCTAAGTACTGCAGGAGGAGAGGGTAGAGTGGGGCTCTTCTGTGTGACCACGGGTTGGAGTAAACGGCACCAGTGCTGTGAGCGTTGATTTGAAGTGAAGCAAAAAACTCAAAACAACGCGGCTTTTGCTAAGGAATGGTGCGGTACGAAAAGTCAGCATCGCCGAGACGACTGGCAACCGTTTGTTGACGTCGAAAATATTTGCAATACTCAAAATGAGTTGTACAGCAGTCGGGGACGTGTGGAAAACATCTACAGTACACCAGTTTGTACTTGACCAACTAATGTACTGCATAGCCGGCAGCGGAAGAAGGAGGAAAGTCCAAGTAGACATATATTTATCCCATTCTTGTGAAACAAAAAAACGAGCGTGTTTCAGCGTCGCACCGAGGAACACCAAAGCTACCCTGATGGCTTTTCCCTCCACAAATCGCGAAGAGCTCCCTGAACCTCCCCCCGCGGCTTGGCTCTATGGCTCTGTTGAGTTTCATGAGCAAACGAATGAACGGTCTTCGAAAGAAGGTACTGCGTCTCACGGTACTCGCCACCCCTTCCCTTCGCGTACAAATAGGATCAAACGTCCTCCAAGCGAGAGATAACTTCGCCCTCGGTGAGGAACGAGGTTGTGCACGACTTTTTTTTTTTGAGGCATCACATGGACCGCCGGTAGATGGGAGGAATCTATCCACACCAACACCCTGTTGCAGCTGAAGCAGCAGACCGCTCACTACTTCCGCTGTCTGCGCGTGGCTACTTACGCACTCAATGTGTTGCGTAGTTCGTGCAAAAAGCGGCCCGCAGGACACAGAAAAGGGGGGTACGCGGCAGAAAAAATGAGAGCACCCCATTATCGTGCATTCTTGCGGGCCCCCTGGTTCTCGGCAAAAAAGTTTCCTCAACGCGGGGAGTTTCCTTAACGCGAGCGTCCTTAAAGCGGGGTCGGCTGTACAAGGTCAGCCAATCAAAACAGTCTCCAGACTTTTGACAAGTGGAACGAGTTGGACAACTGAGACTCCTCCCCCCACCCCTCCTACCCCTCTTCAGCCATGGGAATTCAGGCGGTTCGTGAAAACCCTAGTTTTCTTCCAAGGCCCAAGGCGGCCGCGACTTCCTTTCTCCAGCACAGCACGCGCAGAACGGAGATCTCGGAGATCGCGGCAAGCAACGAAAGGGGCAGCCGGGGCGGAGGGTGGCGAGGGGCTGCCTCCCTTCTTGGCTGGGGGGAAGGGGGTGGTGCTCGTGACGGGTAAGTGGAAAGTTTTTCTACCGCTACACGCTAAGCAGCCGCCTGTGTGTGTGAGCGCCCTCTTGCACCGCCCATTGGTTCATAGTCTGGAAGCCAGTCTTTGCACCTGTTTTCTGGACGCGTTAGCGGGGATCGCACAGACAGGAAGAAGGCTACCCACAGGGATGCGTAATTAGTTTCCGGCATGTCGTGCATTTTTGCCGCCTTGGAGCCCCCGGGAAGAACGTTGACAAAGAGAAGGCATATGCGTAGGTATTTCTGTGATTGTTGTATGAACCTGGTATGCATATTTCCGAACAGGTTGACACCCTAGTCTCTCTCTCCATGGGAAGAAGCTTGATGACAAAGCCAACCATCGGGTTAACGAAAACTGCCATGGTATTCCGTATAAAGCAGTTGGGGGGGGCTGGTTAAGGTGACGGTACATGTATGTGCCCGGAGAGTTCACCGGCACTATTCAACCCCACTCTTAATCCTGTTTATACGAGAGTTTTCTTTGATTCTACGAGAAGGAGGCGTTCTCACCACACATGAAACCGCCACCTTCTAAGGGTTCGTAACCGAAGTTCCTCGTCGCATTTCATATCCGTTTGTTTTTCCGCTGAGGAGCCAAAACAACCCAGTACCTGACAACTTGAGCTCGCTTTTTTCTGTGGGAATCTGTATTCGTTTTAGTTAATACTAGTACAATATATACTGACCTGTTGGCAACTCCCACGCCTCTTGATGGTTTCGGTTGGTCAGGGGCTACCGGGGGAGTAGGGCGGCGAGTCGTGGAGTTGCTAAGGCAAAAGGGAGTTTCGGTTCGGGCGATGGTGAGTCTGTTGCTCTCTCTTGGGGCTGTGTGCCCCATCCATGCGAGTAGATTTGGACAAACGCGGGGTTTCTGTCATGAATGAATGCCCGCGGCAGCTGGGTAGGACTGCGTGGCGACATATACCTTCTCAGGGTCATCCCTTGCGAACCGTACTCCACGCAATATTACACCCCCCCTGGTGGTGACATATGTGGGAGTGCGAGGACCGGGTTAATGTAACAGTTGAAGGCTGTCTGTTTTACGAAAAGGAGAGAGAAATGTACAACCGAGCTGAGAGAAGCAGAAGCAAAAGTTATTTGTTTTGAGGCATGGGATGGCAAATACATATCGATAGGATAGAAGACAGCGGAAAACGACATTTGAGCTACCAGTGGCGCAGTAGGAACAAACGATTGGCCATCGGTGATCGGTCGCGTGGGAACAACGATTGGTCCTCTCGAGGACGCGTGTTCGACGTTCTAACCCCTAAGGCATGCAAATCTTGATTTCTCCCGCCGCGCCGTTGATAACGGGGGTACCGTAAGGTTGCGGGTTAGCTCACCCCCGTGCGATCGTTTTTCAAACATTTTCGCCATGTAATTTTCATCGCACAGGGGTGCGATGACCCCGGGCCGTGCGATAACTCCACACCCTGTGCGGAAATTGAATTATGTCATTGGGTTTGATACATAACGCACACCCCTGTGCGATGACTCCAGTATGGGCGGTACTTGAACGAAAGCAGACGCACGGACACCTCAGCTGTGCTGCGGTTGCAGGCTCCACACGCAACGTACACACGCGCGCGCACGTCAGCCAACCACAGTAGCTAGCCCGATGGATGCTAGGTTTTGGAGAAAGAACACAACACACACACACACACACACACACCAAAAAGCGGCGAAATAAAACGCGGCGACATACAAAATGCCGCGGGCGGAAAACATGGGTAATTGCCCGCCGTCGAGTTGTGCCTACAACAGCAGTGCACGCGACCCACAATCGCTTGGCAATCATGTCGGAGGTATGAAGGACGGGCGGTGCCGCGATCTCAGGGGCTAGTAGTGGCGGTCCTTCCTCTGCGGACGCGGTAGCTGCCCCTGCGGACCCGTTGGCAGCAGGAGAGGCCATCGACGAGATGCTTGCGGGAAACGACCCCACACCTTCATACCACAAAAAGCGCAAATTCCCCGAGCCTGACTTCGTCAACGAGAGGACCGGAGGCAAAAAAGGGAGCTACCCCATGAGATTCAAACTGCAAACAGCCGCATTCACGCGAGTCCTTTGCGAGGATGGTCAACCAGTGGGAGATTCCGGAGCGGCGAAAATTCTCGGGGTGGACCGCAGGCGCAGCATCACCTGGGTCGGCGAGGAGGCAACAATGAAGAAGCTGGTGAAGGAGAAGCCTCGGAGGCAAAATCGATTCACGCTGGTATGGCACCTTCTACAGCCGAGGTCGAACAAGACCTTGAGGACTACATCAACGAGCAGCGTAGGGAACATCGCGGCTGCGGAAGCATGGAAGTCATGAACAAGCTGCTTGAGCTGAAGCCTGACGCTCTCGGCGGGTTGACAGCCGCTGCGTCGGCGGAGGAGGCATTGACTTTCAGGACCAAGTTCAAGAACTGATACCATCGTTTCCACGAACGGCACGGTTTCAGCATCCGCCGGCGCACCAGCGTGGGACAAAAGCTACCGACGGGGTACGAGGGTTTGGCGTTCGCGACGTTGAAGCTTCGTACGACCCTCTTGGAGCGCGCTGGTGAGATCTACGCTCGGCGCAACCCACCTGCATCTGGCGAGAGCCCCATGCAAGGGAAGGACCTCAGTCCCGCGCTGCTAGAGTCGGTTGCCGCGGAAGTGTTCGAAGAACTCGGCAACATGGACCAAACGCCCATCCAGCAGGAGATGCCAGTGGAAACAACTGTGGAGAAGCGCGGTGCGAAGGATGCTCGCATCAGCACGGGAGGTGAGACTTCACCTATAAATACCCATACCAATTACTGTTTGCGCCTTACCAATGCCTGTGTTTGCCTATATTTTTTAGCATCGACCGCGCTATGTGTGTTCGTCCCGTCTCTGCTGGCACCAGTCGATGGGTCTTTAGTTTTTTTTTCCTCTTTGGTAAACATATTATGTATCAGCCGGGATCGCACAGCTTTTTTCAATGTTCATATGTTTGTTTTCGTGCCCCACCTTTCCCCCTGCGGACGTTACTGTATATCGCTTTTGCGCTTGTATTGTTTTCGCGTGCTTGTGTGGTTCCTTGATTCGTGCTGTCGAAGTGTACTACACCAGCCTCAAGCTTGAGTCGCTGAACATCGAAGGCTTTCTCCTCCGTACACTTGCTCCCCCTCTCTTCCCCGCAGGAAAAGAGAAAGACCGTTTCACGCTATGTCTTGCTGTCATGGCGGACGGTGGCAAGGTTCCCCTGCGAATCATTTTCAAGGGCAAGCCGTTCATCCCGCCTAGCACGGCGGGGCGGGGAAAGAACACTCAGCGCCGCAAGGGCTCCATTGCGGCCGAGGTCCTCCCTGCCAACCGCACCAAGTTTGGGTACCCTGTGTCCGGCATGTCTTTCGGCGTGCAGGAGAAAAGCTGGTGTGACGCGCGCGGGTGCACCCTGTGGCTGTCCGAAAGCTGGAGGTTTCGGCCTAACCACGGGAGGGTCATCAAGCAGCGGCACAGCATCTTGGTGTTGGACGACTTCAGGTGCCACCGTAGCGAATCCTTCATCGAGGACCTCCGGAGGAGGGGACAAACACCACCGTTCTCCTCATCCGGGCGGGTTGACTCCTCTTCTTCAGCCGCTGGATCGCATGCTGAAGAAAGAGATTNGTGTCCGGCATGTCTTTCGGCGTGCAGGAGAAAAGCTGGTGTGACGCGCGCGGGTGCACCCTGTGGCTGTCCGAAAGCTGGAGGTTTCGGCCTAACCACGGGAGCGTCATCAAGCAGCGGCACAGCATCTTGGTGTTGGACGACTTCAGGTGCCACCGTAGCGAATCCTTCATCGAGGACCTCCGGAGGAGGGGACAAACACCACCGTTCTCCTCATCCGGGCGGGTTGACTCCTCTTCTTCAGCCGCTGGATCGCATGCTGAAGAAAGAGATTAAGCGACTGATGCGGGGGCGGTACACACAGTACATGGCGTCGGCGATCGCAGACCCCAAGACGGGCAAGTTTCAACCGCCGGGGCGTGGGCTCGTGTCGACGTGGTGCAAGGAGTCATGGGCAGCTATCACCTCCGACACGGTCAAGATGTGCTTCAAGGTGTGCGGCCTCACGCTTGCGCTCAACGATAGCGAGGACGACGCGCGGTGCACCCACAACTTTGGTGAAGGCTACCGTGAGGTTCTAGTCCAGCAGCGCGCCGAGTGGGAAGCACAACACCTCGGCGTGACTCTCCCGCCGCTCCAGCTACCCGAGGTGTCATCTGCATCTGGGGCCAACCCGATCGCGACTGCAGAGAAGGAGGTCACCGCGAAGTTGCTGCCTCCCGAGGGGGACAGTGACGATGAAGTGGAGATCATAGAGGGCAACAGCGATATAGAGCTGTTGGATGGGCCATGGGTTGGGGCTGCGGGAGGGGATGATCTGTAAACGTTTTCGCTCGCGCTCTCTTGTGTTGTACCAGTCGTGGCAGGTTGGCTGCCCGAACATGCTTGTGTGTGAATTCCAGCAGTACGGAGGTTGGCGCTGTTCGGTGTTTCTGGTAGTGACGGGGTTGAGTTTTATTTCGTAGCGAAATAAGTACTCCGTGGAACAAAGGTACAATAGTGCTGCTGTTCCATGGTGCCGTTCCATGGTACTTACTGCTGTTGGTTGTTTTGGCTGATGACTGCTCTTTTTCTTCTGGTGTTTTGGTTGAATGGACAATGCTCAAGTTTACCAATCCCATGGAAATACCAATGTGTTTCATTTCCTTCACACTATGCGACGATGACCTACCTACCCATACAGCAGAGCTACATGCCAGCACTGGCATGGTTGCAGGGGTGAAAGTTGCCATCAGCCAGCAATGGCATGGTTGCAGAGGTGAAAGTTGCCATGGCCAGCACTGGTATGGTTGCAGGGGTGAAAGTTGCCATGGCCAGCACTGGCATAATTGCACGGGTGAAGTTGCCCCGAAATCGCTCGCACTCCACTACTACCCTACTGTAGGTTGCGAGTCATCGCACCCCTGTGCGGTAACGTCGGACCCTGTGCGGTAACGTCGGACCCTCTGCGGAAATCGAATTACATGCTTATGCCATTTAATTTTTATCGCACCCCTGTGCGACGACTCCGGACCGTGCGGAAACCCCGGACCGTGCGGAAACCCCGGACCGTGCGCTAACCTGCAACCTCACGGTATTCGCCGGACATGTGACTGCTCTTGTCGGACGCTGACGGTGTTCACGATCGTCTGCTGCTGCTGCTGCTGCTGCTGCTGCTGCTGCTGCTGCTGCTGTTGCTGCCGTTTATGTCGATGATGGTTATGATGATAATTTCGGCAATGGCGATGATGGCAATGTTGGTTGATACTCAGGCTCGAAACAAGTCCAAGGCCTTGGCGATGCTCACTGAGGGCAAGGAGACCAAGGGAGGGTCTGGGCTGGATGTGGTTGTGGCGAACATCATAGACAAGTCGTCTCTCACGCCCTCCCTCTTCAAGGTTAGTCTGTTGCTGCTGCTGTTGCTGTTGGTGTTGATGGTGGTGGTGGCAGCGTTTCGAAGTTGTTGTTGTTGGTGTTGGTGTTGATGGTGGGTTCTGGTGGTAGCATTTGTGAACATGGTCGATTGGCCAGATCCGCTGCTTGCTGATGCTGGTCATCGCGGTATGGAAGTGCTGGCGTTACTTACACCCCGGACCCAAGAGCTTTGCTGACCTCCTGCTGCGGTACTTCAAGTCTATGACGACCCAAGCGATGCACAGTTGTCATCATATGTGGTGTCAACTTTGCTCTCGACAAGACAGCAGCAGTAGAGCGAGCCCGATGTGTTATCAACCTGTCACGCTCACACACCCACCAACCACCTTGTACATATTCAACCGGTCATACACATGCACGCACATATACACCTTCACACATTTGATCCACCCATGTAATCCCAACCGGCCACGCATATGGATGTCATGTTATCCCATATACGTTCCCGTACACATGGTACGAATTATGCATGAGTATGCATGCACAACTGGTCCGCATTACGCATCCGTCACATGACATTGTGCATCCATCATATGACGTCATGCATCCGTAACATCAAAGCATGCATCCATCACGTGACATTATGCATCCGTAACTTGATTTCGGGTGCAGGACGTGGCGGCAGTGGTATCCTGCACGGCAGCGATCGTAAGGCCCAAGGAGGGCGATGGGCCGGACAGAGCCAAATACTTCAACGGCATCACCTTCTACGAGCCGGAGGTGAATTATGTTCTAGGCATTTATATATGTATATGAATTGTTGTTGTCTTCACATTAAAAACCGTTCCGATCTCTCTCTACCCAGTACCTTCGTATGTCCGTACTGATCCAACAATCGACGCGATCGATTCCCGTGGTCGCAGGCTAACTTACCCTGAAAAGGTACACTCAAATAAAATGGCCCCGAGGGGTCCGCAAGTCAATAGAAATCAGCGACAGATATTCTGGAGTCCTCCACTCCCTCTGCGCGCTATGCGAGGTAACCACTGAGACTAGGAGTCACCATCACCGGCCGGAGAGAATGAGGTACACCTCCCTTGGTTCAATCTTGGTACTTCACAACGCAAGCAGAGTCAAGGCCATCTGGCACAGAAAAAGACAGAAAAAAAGAGAAGAAAATAAAAGGGAACAGTAAGGACAGAGAAGACGAAATAAATAGAGCAAGGACAAAAAATAGGGACCAAGCCGAAAATGCCAAGAAATAAGAGACAGAAAAAGGCACACGGTGGAGAAACTATCAACGACAAGCAAACACGCAAACATGGCCACCAACCAGCGATACATTGTAACGGTACGTCATCACTAGCGGGGGTTTGGTGCAATGGTGCAGCGTTGGAGGGGGGGGGGGGTGTACTCATTGTCGTGCATGCCGTAGTCGTTAGACCATTGACCTCGCATCCCTACAAAG